ATCTTCTCCTGCATTATGAACCATCAGAACCTCTGAGCTCATCTGTTCATCAGCTCACACAATGTTATACTGTCAGTTATCATCATGTGATAGTGAATAACCAATCAGAATGTGCCTCGTTCTGGTACATGAAGTAGGTCAGCTTGAAGATGACGTCCAGGGATATCATAAGATATGAACAATTGGACAGTGTCAAGGTGATACATAATCAGTATTCCACAACACTGTTCAAGTCATGTTTCATGTCCTTTTGGATCCTGTTCAAGTCATGTTTCATGTCCTTTTGGATCCTGTTCAAGTCATGTTTCAGGTCCTTTTGGGTCCTGGTTAAGTTCTGTTTCAGGTCCTTTTGGTTCCTGTTAAAGTCCTGTTTCAGGTCCTTTTAGGTTCTACTCAAGTCCTATTTCAGGTCCTTTTGGGTCCTGGTTATGTTCTGTTTCAGGTTCATTTTATGTTATATTCAAGTCCTGTTTCAGGTCCTTTTGGGTCCTGTTCAAGTCCTGTTTTAAGTACTGTTAAAATCCTGTCAGTGTTTGTTCAAGTCCTGGTTCAGGTCTGCACAGACCTAACTTTAAGACCTAACTTTAAATCATAAAAAAGCTGCCAAGTCCAAACAGAAATACTAAAAAAAGATCTTCAGAAAGCTTAAAGAACTGGTAATAAAGTCCACTTTAAAAGAAGAGAGGAAATAAGTTACACTGTAGGTGTTTTTAAAACTAAAAGTCAGAATAATTAAAAGTTTTTATCATTTGACACTTGTGGTTTAACGCTGCTGTCTGTTCACACTGATAATTAGGAGTTTGATCTCTGTGGATCAATTAACTGTTTTTCAGTGTTATTTTTATTTTATCTAACAAACGGTGAAAGAGCGAAGGCTGCAGGGAGAACACGAGGACGGCTGGAAAATAAAAATATAAAAAGACAAAAAGACGGAGACCTCGATCCCGCGAGCATCTGTGCCTCTGAAGAACCGGTCCGATCGGTGTCGTCTTCCTGTTTAGTCTCTTTTTTCGTTTGTTGTAAATTTCTTTTTCTAACATCCATCACAGCTCAGAAGCAGTGTCTTATGGATTGTTTTAAATTTCCTAAAATAAATAAATGAAGTTTTGTGGTTTATGTTTATTAGTTATTAAAACATAATGTAACACCTTTTAAATGTTTTTTTTTAATTCTTTTGGAGCTTAGTACTTACACAAACGACATATTTTAAATCTACTTTTAGTATCTATAGAAGCTCTAGAAGACAAAAGAATAAGAAGTGAAACATTTTTTCGTATTTCTTGATTATTCTTGACTAAAGTTTTATAAAAAAAAGTATTATTGAGCAAACTTTTTCATTGACTAGCCCCAGAAATAAGCAATAAATAAAATAAAAGTTTGTCCAGAACACTTTCTCTCTTGACTTTGACACATAACAAAAACAATTCAACATATTTTTGCCTTTTTCCACCCAATTTTTGGACCAAAGGCAAAATAATAATAATAATTTTTGCTTCTTTCAGAAACAAGAAAAAAATAATAATTAGAAAATTTGTGTGACCC